ACATGCCATGCACACACTCACACGGCCAACACATACACACACGGCACTTGCACACAGTAATGGTGATTAATCACCACTAATAACATCTTAATGCTTAAACAAAATAATTAAGCATAACACTTAATAACGAAAATTATTCCGGACGTAAACGGTACGTCGAAAATAATTTTCGGTACTTCCGACTGAAATAACTGAAAATAATTAATTCCGAAAAAATAATATCGGAACTAAAATATTTTATTATACTGATAAAAAGTCGGGATATTACATACTGTCTTGGACAGATTCAGTATGCAGAACTCTAAGAGAGGTACATTACCTTTCAGATATGGAGTACCTTTATCTAAGGAGTTGTCTCCTAAGACGACTGAAGAGATAGAGGACATGAAGACAGTTCCTTATGCTTCGGCAGTAGGAAGTCTCATGTATGCAATGCTGTGCACTAGGCCTGATATTAGCTACGTCGTTGGCATGGTAGCGAGATATCAAAGTAATCCCGGAAGGGAACATTGGGCTGCGGCGAAACATATACTCAAGTACCTGCGAAGGACTAAGGAGTACATGTTAGTTTACCGTGCAGACAGTTTGTTTCCGCTGGGTTACAGCGATTCTGATTTTCAGTCAGATAGGGACGAGAGTAAGTCAACCTCAGGTTATGTGTTTACCTTGGGAGGTGGAGCCATTTCATGGAGGAGTGCTAAGCAGAAGTGCGTAGCAGACTCCACTATGGAAGCCGAGTACATCGCAGCCTCTGAGGCAGCGAAAGAGGCAGTTTGGCTCAGAAACTTCTTGGAGGACTTAGAAGTGATTCCGAGTTTTCCACGTGTTATTACCGTGTACTGTGATAACAGTGGTGCAGTAGCAAACTCAAGGGAACCACGAGCCCACAGAGCAAGCAAACACATAGAGCGCAAATACCACCTTATTAAAGATATCGTGGCAAGAGGAGAAGTTGAGATCACCAAGATTGCATCAGAAGACAACCTAGCTGATCCTTTTACGAAGAGTTTGTCGGAGAAGGTCTTCGCCAAACACGTAGAGGGAATGAGAGTCAAATGTATGGTGATAGGATCGACATAGGTCTTTTAGGATACGGATTGATAGGACTATACTAGTAAAGCGGCAGCTTTAAGTATAAGTGGGAGATTGTTGGTGTTATATACTTAAGCTTTGCTTTAGTGGATATTACACTTGTTATTTCTTGATGAATGAGAATTATGTTTGGTTAAATAAGTTCCAAGTTCTGTTGTATTGCATGTAGTTCCAAGTGGGTCGTCATCGGGCGTACTGAAGATCACTATATCAGTTACCTGTGAAACAAGAATCATTGGTTCACAACCTAGATGGAATTGAACAACCCATCGGGACGGTTGTAGTGTCAACCGTACGGTTTGTCTTGACCGATTAGTTGCACTAGTACATTTATGTATTGAACAGGATCCCAGAGAGGGATGTTCGTTTTATACTGATCGTCGTAAACGAACTAGGCCTCAGTTAATTATTGCGTGCTCTTAACCCGTAAGATATTAAATAGGCATGTGCACATAATTGTTGTTGCTTTGATTCTTTGGGTGAGATCCAAGCCGGGTCGACATACTTAATGAATTGGGTAATGACATTATGTGTTCGGTGTGCTATTAGGATATTTACGGTCACCATGTGCGTTAGTATGATGATGTCCCCGAAGTGAGTTCATGAAGGAATACTATGCTAAACCCTGCAGGTGGATTTATTCCGGCATAATATGAATGCTATGAGCGAGCGCTAGCTTCGGTAATATCATATATTAATTAATTCTTGATTATTAGTGATCGAATTAATTAATGGACATTATGTCTTAAACATGAAGAGGTAAATCGGATAATTATAATAAGGAGTCTCAAATGTAATTTGGGATAGGTGAGGGGAGTGAAATAATATTATTGTGGTGGACTTTAATATTATTAATATATTAATTGTGGGGTTGCTCCACAGTATTAATATATTAGAAGCCCTTATCCTATTCTCCTTAGGGTCCCTACTGTAGCTCTATATATACAGCATTAGGCTCATGGAAGAGAAGGAACAATCCCATAATCAAAACGTCCCCCCCCTCTCTCTCTCTCTCTCTCTCTTCCAAGGAGTTGTTCTATTTCTTGTGCTCCACTGATAGAAGATCTAGATAGTTGTTTGAGAATACAGTAGAAGATCTTAAGGTATATACGGGATTCCAATCAAATCTATCATCCATCCAAACCGGAGACCAAAACCAGCAAGTGACCATACCACGACGACCAGGACGACGAGTCGCAGAGATCGCTGTCGAGATCGCCGCCAGCCGCCGCCGCACGCGCCCACACACGCCGCCGGAAGATTGCAGCTGTTGGGTCTCACAACGCGCGCGAGAGAGCGCGTTAACCCTCCGTTTTCCGACTGGTCAACGCCGTTGACTTCGCCGTAACGCCAGCTTTCTAGATTGGTCAAGTTTGTTCGATTCCGAGAAGATTTGATTTGCGGTCATCTGTTCGGGCCAGCCAGATCTACATAAATTTTAAGCCGTAAGTTTTCTACATCAAACCTTTAGATCCGCTGCGCATAGGTTTATGTTGAATGTTTGTCCGTGATTTGTGCATATCGAGATCCTCATGGGTTCCAACAACATGAACATTTAAACCAAACCATACCCAATCATCAGGGTTCCTCAAGTTTTCCAAAAACAAAACAAGTCATAAGTTCTGGAAAAGGGTTTAAAAAAGTCTCCACATAAAGGTCCATAAAAGCCTTATTATTCTACGGAAGCAATAAAATGCATAAAGAAATGACCGACCCACTCGCCTCTTCTTGTCACCCTGCTCCTGCTTAACCTGCATTGGTGAAGAGCAGGTGGGGATGAGCACAAGATGAAAAGCGTGCTCACCACTATGCACATATATCACAACATCAATAATGAAGAGAAGGTATGGTTACAGTATGAACATAAAACAATTATTCTGTCACGTCTCCTAATCACATCACAATATATTACCCACGTGTACACATCTTTCATTAGCCAAGGAAAGGGGATTCATTACCCTAACTCATGGGGATACGTACCATACAACAAGGCACGACCTTTCATTAGATCTTACAGAGCCTTACCTCGCAAGGTAACTGTATTACATCGACGGGGACAACCGTACCGACGGCCGAATCGGCTCACGCCAATAGGCTACATGGTTTACGTACATACTAAAATCATACCAAATCAACATTATAATAGACACATATGGCATATCAAATTTTAGATTAAAACCCACCTGGTATACTGAAATATCTGGCAAGTGCTCGAAACTGAAGTAACAGTCGGAGGCTCGACTCTCCTTAAGCTACAAAAATATATAAGCAAAAAAAAAACTAAGTATTATGCTCAACTGCATATATTAATATGCTCGGTTCTATATGCTTACTTATCTGGATGTAACAGAACGCTCTAAGGGTTTGCAAAAGAAATATACTAAGTCCAGA